GGTGTGCGTCCCGGGGGCATGGCACATCGCCCACAGGGGTGTGCGTGCATCCCGGGGGCATGGCATGCCACCCGTGGGGGAATGGCATGCATCCTGGAGGTGTGGCTCGCCGCCCTCAGGGGCGTGGTGCCTGGCGCAGTGGGAGGTGCACGGCACATGTCCGGGGCAGCCACAATGGTACCCCCCTCCCCGATGGTGCCGGAGGCGATGCGCTTCCCCTGTCTCTCCCCCCCCCCCGTTCCTCCGCCTGTGTGCCTTCCAGCAAATTGTCACAGAACTCAGGCCCTATTAGATAACTTCTACAATTAATAACTGCACACAATCAACACACCTTGGCTGGTTTGATGGTCGATGCAAAATGACTAGGAAAGTTTTGGCTAAGGCTATTAGGGATTTGCGTAGGAATCCATGGAAAATTTGGTCAAACATAGACTGGAATACAAGGGACGCGGGTGGCGCTGTGGGTAAAAGCCTCAGCGCCTAGGGCTTGCCGATCAAAAGGTCGGCGGTTCGAATCCCCGCGGTGGGGTGCGCTCCCGTTGCTCGGTCCCAGCGCCTGCCAACCTAGCAGTTCGAAAGCACCCCCAGGTGCAAGTAGATAAATAGGGACCGCTTACTGGCGGGAAGGTAAACGGCGTTTCCATGTGCTGCGCTGGCTCGCCAGATGCAGCTTTGTCACGCTGGCCACGTGACCCGGAAGTGTCTCCGGACAGCGCTGGCCCCTGGCCTCTTAAGTGAGATGGGCGCACAACCCTAGAGTCTGTCAAGACTGGCCCGTACGGGCAGGGGTACCTTTACCTTTACCTTTTAGATTGGAATACAAGAGTCTGCTCAAAAGCAAGAAAGTTGAATATACGAAAACCCACTGGCAGGGATTGGGACTAGCAGTGGTGGAACAGAGGGAAGACAATTTCTGGGAACTGGTGGCCCAGAGTTTAAATGAAGTGAGATCATCACAGGAAATCTCAGTTCCTGCCTCTGACTGGGTGACATATTCCCCCAATATATTTGGTGGTCAGTCTGGGCAATCACATGTACCAGCAGTGTATGAGAATTTCTCAAACCAACCTGAATGGCAGCCAGTCTCTTGTAATCATAGATTCATAGAATTGTAGAGTTGGAAGAGACTACAAGGATCATCTAGCCCAGTGTTTCCCAACCACTGTTCCGCGGCATACTAGTGTGCCGCGAGATGTTGCCTGGTGTGCCGTGGGGAAAATTCGAAAGTTTTTTTTTTTTTTTGTAAAAGTCAAATTAGGTCCTAATCTATCCCTCGAGCGCCTCTTGTCCGTTATTGTGACGCATGAAGCGTGTTCCCGCCCACTCCCCGCCCTCCCTTGCTTCTCTCTCTCTCTCTGTGGCGTTCTCCGCCGCTTCCTGCTGGGCATGCGCAGCTCGCCTCGTGCTTCCATTCCGGCCCCTCCTTCCCCCGACTACCCTGCCGCTCCGTTCCTTTCTCTTTCTCGCGTGTCAGAGAGCGGCGGCGTGAACGCGGCGGTTCCCTCAGGGCTGACGGAGGGCTCGAGGAGGAGGAGGCAGGACGTGGAGGCGGAGAAAGCGGCGGCGGCCACCCCCCACCTCCGGCTCGAGGCCCGCGTAGAAAGCTGAGGGGGAGAGATAGATAGAGGTGGGCGGCGGCGGCGGCGGCGACCACGACCAACCGCCACAGTAGTTGTAGCGGTGGCGACGGCGAGCAGGGACTCCCGCTCTCTCTCCGTCGTGTCTCTCTCTCTCTCTCTCCCGGGCCCGTCCGTTGAGTCTCCCGCGCGCCTCGGCTACAAGATGAGCATCGAGATCCCGCTGGGTCTGACTGAGCTGCTGCAGGGCTACACGGTGGAGGTGCTGCGGCACCAGCCGCCGGACCTGCTGGCCTTCGCCGCCGAGTACTTCGCCAAGCCGCGCTCTCCTTCCTGCCTCGCTTTGCTGCCTCCTCCCCCCCACCCCCAAAGCTTGGAGGTTCCCCGGCGCCGACCCGCAGGTTTGACCCCCTTCTCACACCTGTTCGCGCTCCTTGCATGGAATGGGGCGGATGGGGAGGAACGGGGCTCGCCGCTGCCTCCGCTCGCCCTCCCCCCCTCCGCCGGCGGTCCCGCGATTCTTGGCTTTTTGGCGGTTGGCACAGAAGGAAGGCAAGGGGGAGGGGGAAAAATTGAATCTTACACTTTCGTGCGTCCCTCCCGGCGTGACGCTGCGCGCTGACGTCACGGGGCTGTAATGGTGGTGTTCCTCGAGATTTTTTTCATGAAACAAGTGTGCCTTTGCCCAAAAAAGGTTGGGAAACACTGATCTAGCCCCACCTCCTGCAATGCAGGAATCTTTCATGCAACGTGGGGCTCAAACCCGCAGCCCTGAGATTAAGACTTTAATGCTCTACTGACTGAGATAAAGGCCCTCATTTCTTGCCTGGAATCAAATAAAGCTCCTGGAGAAGATATGCTTCCACCTGAGCTCTCTAAGGGATATTTAGAATGGCAGATGTCTATCTCAGCTGGCTTATTTACCACCATCAACAATATGAGCCAAATGCCCTCTGGATGGAAAATGAGTATCATTTTCCTGATATATAAGACAGGTGATAGGAAGGATCCACAAAACTATCAGCCAGTTAGCTTGTTAGACATCTCAAAGCTATATGCGTTACATCTCCTTCAAAAATCATCAGACTGGTTTGCAAGATAACATTTTTCATGAAGAACAAGCAGGATTCAGAAGAGGATACAGAACCATTGATTAAAGTTTTACTCTGAACCGTATTGTAAGGAAATATACTAAGAACATTAAGGATAGTCTTTATGTGGCCTTTATTGATCTTTCTGCTGCATCCAGCTCTATTAATCAAAACAAACTGTGGGAGAAATTTCAAATTGCTAACATTGACTGCAGACTTCTGCTATTGATCCAAGAACTATACAGTAATACAGAAAAGAGGGTCGGAGTAGGTTTAAATGGTGGTATGACTGATGCTTTTAAAATGTCATAAGGAGTGAAACAAGGTTGCACTTTGGCTCCCACTCTTTTTAACGTTTATATTAACAATTTGGTGCCATATTTAGCCAATTCAAACTCCCCCTCTCCGGTAATTAGGCACAGAAATATCTTAATATTGATGTATGCAGATGATTTAGTGCTCCTCTCTCTTTCCCAATTGCCCCCCCCCAAAAAAAAATCTATTGGAGGTGTTCAGCACATACTGTTAAGAGAAGAATTAAGACCAAGATTGTGATTTTTGGCACAGTCCTAGTTATAAATGGTGCTTAGATCAGCAAGCTATAGAACAAATTCACTCGTTTAGATACTTGGGTGTACCCTTCAGTGAAACCCTCTCCTGGAGGTGTCATATGAAGACAGTGAAAGTGAAAACACAGAAAGCCATAGGGACATTGATGGAGTTCTGTTGCAATAAGGAAGGGCAGCTGGTTGAACCTAAGGATATTTGGTAGCAAAGCACTTGCTCTGATTTGAACTCCATTAAAATTTTGGAAACTGTGCAGAATATTATTTTTTTCAGAAGCTATACTCTCTACCATCAGGAAAATATCAGCAGCTCTTCTTCATACAGAATCCAAGAGGCCAACAATTATGGCAAGAGCAGACTGTGCTCAGTTAAAGTAAATTTATTTTAAATTGCTACTACCATATGCCTATTGAGCATTTTCCTGTGCTATATGGAACTGGGTGATAACCAATTCTGGAAAGCAGCTTGTCCAGATGTTCTAGACTATCATTATTTTCCAGATCTGAGCTCTGCTTTGACCTTGAATACGTGTCAACTAAGGGATTGGCTCTTCTGGATAGAATCCAGAAGGGACCTACAACTAATTAGAAACACCAGATTTCCCCCTTGATACCCACTCATGAGGACAGAGCATTTTAGAGCTGGTTCTCTGACCAAACTCTCACCAGTTTCCTTAAGAAATGCCTTCATTGGACTGCATCTCCATGTGATACCTACTGCCGTCTTGGATGGTTGTTAAAACAAGCTCCTATACACAGGCAGACTTGGCATTTATGGTCCATCTCAGATGGAAGACATCTCTCATTCTCTATTAGCCTGCCCCTTATTATAGAGATACAAAAGATCACTTTCTGAAACTTTTCTTCACATAAGCAACTAGCAACACCCCAGCAGAAATGGTTCAGTTTCTTTTGAGTGACAATAATAGCTGCGTAACACAGAGAGTGGCCCTCTATGCACTGTCTGCCAAAAAATAAAGAAAGAAAGAAAAAGAAGTTAGATAAAATCGCTATAAATGGTTTTGGCTTGATTTGATTTGATTGTGTTGGTGTCTCTGGTAACTTCTGTCTCTTACAGCGTGGATGCTGGCAAATTGGATTTTTAAAAGGCAAAATAATAGAATTGGATCTGTCAGAGGTACACAATGCTCAGTAACTTGGCAAAATCTTTTTTGTATTATGGACTTTTATTTTATGGGTGTATGTCCTGTGCTATATTATCAATACTGTTGACTAATACACATTTGTCATGGCCTTTGGCTAGAACAGCAGACTTATGAACCCGAACAATCAAAATTGTCTGGCAGGGGAACTGAACTGCTTGCAGAATGGTGGACTGTTCTTCACTAGAGGTTTTTAGATTCCAAATGGCAGCCTATCAGGGATGCTGTAGGTATTTTCTGTATCAATGGGGGTGGGTGAGCCTTTGAGGTTGCCTTCCAACCCTATCATAGTAAAATTATGAAATCCACTTGGGATCTGGTGATGGCCACCATGTTGGACAGTTTTAAGACGGACTGAGACAATTGAACAGAGGGCAAGAGGGTGGGGTTTTTTGTCAGCATTGCAGAGGGTTAGACTAGTTGACCCTTGGGATCCCTCCGGACTCTACAGTTCTTTGTTTCTAGGACGCCTGTGTTGTGCCTCCATTATTGGAGAGAAAGTATGCTGGGGAGGCAAAGGTGCTGAACTGGGTGGGCCAGGGGTCTGATCCAGCAGAGCTCTTACGGTGTTCTTAAGCATATTTTCTCTTCTTTATTCTTTAGGGACGTTCAGAGGAATCTGTAAGCAAATCAATCATTTCCCAGAGGATGCTGACTATGAACAGGATGCAGCTGAATACCTCCTGCGTAAGGTTTACAACCTCCCGGGCAACTACAAATCTGTGCTTCTGGGGGGGGGGGGTTCTACACACAGAAGGGATAGGGCTCACCCCTGTAGGCAACTGAGTGGCCAGCAAAATCCAGCTGGAGATTTCCTTGTCAGAGTATGTGTCAATCCCACTTTCGATGGAGCTTTTTGAATTTTCCCTGAGCATCAAGGGTGGGTTGTGTGGTGTTTTTTTTTCCGATGCAGTGCATTAACTAATCACTTTCCTTATTTCATTCATTTACGACAGTGTCCTTTTCTCCCTTGGACTGACATCCTTAAAAGATCGTATCCCTGAAAGGGATAGGCAAATCTATCTGTTTTGGTTCTCTCGTTTTTCCAATATTAAATTCAATTCGTATTTCTGCAGCAGTTTGAGGATTCTTTTTCTTCTTCTTCTTCTTCTTTTAATCCACATGAAACTTTGTCAGCTTTTCTGAGAGCCAGTGTGGTGTAGTGGTTAAGAGCGGTAGTCTCGTAATCTGGGGAACCGGGTTCGCGTCTCCGCTCCTCCACATGCAGCTGCTGGGTGACCTTGGGCTAGTCACACTTCTGTGAAGTCTCTCAGCCCCACTCACCTCACAGAGTGTTTGTTGTGGGGGAGGAAGGGAAAGGAGAATGTTAGCCGCTTTGAGACTCCTGAAGGGGAGTGAAAGGCGGGATATCAAATCCAAACTCTTCTTCTTCTTCTTCTTCTTCTTCTTCTGTGTGAATTTCTCCAGATAAACACATTTCTCTATGGCAGGCATATTTTTTGCACTGGGAAATCATGCCTCTGAAAGCCAGTTGCTGGGAATCACAAGCAGGGAGAGCTGCTGTTGTGCTCAGGTCTTACTTGAGGGCATCTGGTTGGCCATGGTAAGAACAGGAGGCTGGACTAGATGGACTAGTGGCTGGATCCAGCAGGCTCATCTTGTGTTTTCCTAATATAATGCATCGCTGAATGTCATTCTCATCAATTTTATGCATGTTTTCCCCTAGTATATGCATTTCTCTACATTTCTTTTGACTGGAGAGCTGCATTCTTAAATAAGTGCAAATTTCAAAGGATCCCTATGTTTCAGTTCTTCAAGGGTGAATTAGGCAGTTTCTCATCCAAATGCAAACAAAGTTGACTTTCTCCCCATCCCTCATCACAAGTTATTATATTTGTTTCAAAATCCAGTCACTTGGGCAGGATGTGATGAGTGAAGGGATGGACAGATCGGCTTAAGCCCCATCCTTATCAGCTTCCCTCAGTCTGTTCTGCCCCCTATTTTTGCAGACTTTCCTAAAGAACCCATGAAAAATCCACATGTAAATTATGTGTGTTTTGTACACAACGTTTCCTGAAAAATACACATTTCCCAGTGCATTTCCTCCCCAAAATATGCATTTTGTATGCATTTTTATTGTAAAGATGCATATCTTGATGCAGACATTTTTGAAACAAACTGCATAGCCATGGGTGCCAATTCATGGGGGCCGAGCCCTTGCGGGCAGCCTCCAATATTTTTTGGTAGGGGGCTATGCCCCCCTAAAGTCCCAAAAATTCAGGGGGTGGAGGAGGCTGAGCATGGAGCCAAGCATGACATGGCTTTAGTGACTGGCTCCTTCTCCTTCTCTTGCCATGGAAGAGAAAGAGGACTGAAGCAGCCCCCCACCAGTGGCGATGGCAGGAGGAGGAGGAGGAGGAGCTGCCAGTCATTGAAGCCATACTGTCGCCACATTTGGTTCTGCCCCCGGCTCGTTCTGATGCCCTGGACATCACACACAATGTCACACACACGACATTGCCCATCCCTTCCCCCTATATCACCAATGGAAGCTGGAGCCTCTGTGCACAGTCCAGGTGATAGTTGCATTCTGATCCACAATAGAATTTGGAAACGTCAATTCGAGTCAGTCCTCTGTGACAAGCAGACCAAACAAATTCATCCCCCATCACTTGGCAGAGGATTTAGTCCTCAAAAAAAAAAAATGTTCCCAGTAAATTAAAAGCTCCAGGGCTTACCTGATTATCAGGAGGAGAAATCTAGGCAGCTGCCTGGGCTGGCAAGATGTAGGAAATAGCAAAAATGCAAGAAATAATTATGTCGGTCTGGAGAACCGATCCCACGTTGAGATATTATTTGGCTTGTGTGCAGCGGAACTAATGTGGGAGCAGCGCCCTTCCCAGACTCACTGTCACAATGTGTCTCCATAGAGCAGTAGAGATTGGTGGGTCAGAAGGAAGGGAGCCCAACAGTAGGTGGCGCCAGAGCCAGTGACAGGCAGAGCCAACTAACTCTCGTTTTGTCTCCTCCTGCTCCTTGTCCTTCTTCATCCTCATCATCATGAATGTGCAGGCGTCCCCCCACTTACATGCGATCGACATGCATATACGTGTGGCACCAGGAAATAAATAACTAATTCAATTCAAACCCGGAAGTGGCTGGTGAGAGCTGGAGAGTCTTCCCCAGAGCCTGAAATGGATATCAGTGAGGGCGGAGGAAGCCCTGAAGAGACTGGAGGAGCAGCAAGACTTTGTTTAGGCTGCTCAGCCTCCCTGCCTAACAGCTGGTGTGTGTGGTACAGTAGCAGTGGCTGCCACTTTTCAGCTCGTCCTCCAGCCTGCAGTCAACCCCAGAGCTTCAGTTCAAGTTGTGGATATTTTTGGATACGGTATTTTTGGTCTGGATTGGAGAGAGAGCGGCAGAGGGCAATTTAAGGGTGCTTAGAGGGTGCTTCCCACTTCCCACTATTTCACTTCTGCGCGCGGCGGGCCCAGAATATAACCCTTTGTAAGTGTCGGGTGGGGGCCACCCATTTTCATTGCCTTCTAAACCACCCTCTCAGGGCAATTCATGCACAAGTTAATTAAAAGCAGTTCTAACGGAGATTTGGATTTAATGGAGAAATTGACGAGCAAAGTTCAGGAAAGAACACAACATAAGAAATCCAATAACTCTAACAAAATGTGGTTTAGCTTTTTTACATATGTTTCATCAAAGGAACATGGTTATAAACCACCAAAAATGCATAGAAATCTGTGGAACAGCTTTTAATAGAGTCACTCTTAATAAATATACTTTGAAACCTTGTGTTGGGGAAATTAAGTGGGGGGGGGCAACTTATTCTATTATTTACCTAAGTATGTAAAATCAAGAAACTTTTTTTAAAAAAAGAAAACCAGTTAAAACACAAAAACAACAAATTTGTTTAAAACAAGACTAAAACCCTAACAAAGAGACACTCGTGGTAAAGACCCTGTTAGAACAAAAATGTCTTCAATTGATTCCAGAAAGTGCTTGTCATATCTTGACAGGGATGCTATTCCAGGGGCAGCTACACTAACAGCAACTTTCTCCCCCCACATCCCACTGAGTTCTTCAAGGGCAGCACAGAAACTAAGGGAGAGGCAAGCCTAAGCCCTGGGCAGGTTTTAAGCTGGTGGGTTCATGACATTGGTGGGTGGGACTTTAATCAAGGCTTCTCTGAACTGAACTGTGCTTCTCTGGTCCTTGCACCAGAGCTGAGCTTCTGAGCAGTCTGGGTGATGTCCCAAATCCCTTCCCATTCTTGGGGTCCTGTAGCCAGTGAGGGTTAGAATCTAAGAGAGGCAGTTGCTGAACTAGTTTCTTTAAAGACAAGGACCTTAGCTGACCATTTCAGGGTCCTCACCAGCATCCCCCAAAGAATAAGGAAGATTTCAAGAGCTACAGTTAGGTGACGTTTCCCTCCAGGCTGATGGGTGGGCCTTTCTTCCACCTTTAAAGGGTAGAGTGCTAGACTGTCAAAGAATGGATGGATGATGAGGAGTGGTGAGAAGCTCCAGCCAGAGACCCCCTAGAGAAGCCTCAGAAGAGGAAGGCTCCAAGCCAGAGGAGTGGTGGTGGGACATGGAAGACAGGTCAGAGGATGAAGGTGCAGGGGGTAGAATGGTTGGATGCGGAACAAGCAACAGGCTCAAGTGAGAGAGAGGAGGAAGAGGCAGAAAGCACTGCAGACATAGGACAGGCTGCTGAGGAGGAGGGGAGGCTAAGGTTGCAACAGATTCATGGGAGCCAGCCGGTTCTACTGGCTCCCCTCCAGTCTTGTCTCCAAGAGCTTTGCAGAGCAAAAAGCAGAGAGAGCACAATGGGGGCAGCCCTCCCCTACGGAGTTTAAGACTGCTTTACTGGGGCCAGTCTTGCCCATAGGTTTCTCTGTTTGTATTCTGTTTCCTTAAAACTTTACTGCTCATCTCTAAGTTTCTGTGCTGACCTGCAACTAAATCAGCACTAACATAGACTGAGACTCCCCGCTCGGCCATGAAGCTCCCTGGGTGTGACTTTGGCCCAATCACTGTCTCTCTCAGCCACTATCTCTCAGGGTTGTTGTGCGGATAGAATGAGCAGGAGGAGAATCACACAACCCACCTTGAGCCCCTTGGAGGAAAAGGTGGGCTGCAAATGTAATAAAGATGTCATAATACCAGTCGCCTGAATGGACCAGCCTCCACTAGTACTTTAACATGCTACGGTAATGATGTGAGGGATAGCTTAGTCGGTAGAGCATGAGGCTCTTAATCTCAGGGTCAAGGGTTTGAGCCCCATGTTGGGCAAAAGATTCCTTCATTGCAGGAAGTTGGTGTAGATGGTCCTTGTGGTGGCTTCCAACATTACAATTCTATGATTTCATGATTCTATGAGTGTAGTCTGAGCAGGATTTGCCTCTTCCCCTTCTCCTTCCTCCTCTTCGTCCAGGTGCAGTGAGAGCATCCAGTATCTTCCCCATCTTGAGTGTGGGTCTGCTGTTCTTCGGAGGTCTCTGTGTGGCAGCCAGTGAGTTCTACAAGAGCAAACTCAACGTCATCTTGAGTGCAGGGATTTTTTTTGTATCGGCAGGTGAGTCCCAAGTCACTTCTCCGCTGTCTATGCTGCCTGGCATAAGATTAAAGCTCTGGCCTTTGCAGCCAAGGCTGACTCCCAGCAATGGGGTGCCAACCAGATTTGAATACCGTACTCCCAGAAGGAAACACTTTTGCTCTCCACCCTTCTGGCTCTCCAACTTTGCATGCCTATGAATGGGATATCTGGGTATCTGTCCCAAAACGGCCATAGAGCAGAACATCTGCCCTGAAAGCAGAGGGTTTCAGGTTCATCCCCCGACATCTCCAGATTTGGATATGGGATGCAGTGATTCTGTGTGTAGATTGAGCCCTCCTCCTCCTCCTCCTTGCCCATTAACCCTTGCCAAGAACTGCTGCTTAGGTCGGGAAGGGCCAAAGCTTAGTAGGCACAGCCCCTGCTTGGCATGCAGAAGGTCCCAGGTCCGGTTCTCTGCATCTCCAGGTAGGTCTGGAATGTCCCCTACCTGACACCCCGGAGAGCTGCTGCCCATCAATGTCGGCAATGCTGAGCTGGAAGTGTCAAAGGTCTGACTCAGTATAAGGCAACTTCTTATGTCTCTGAGCTGCTGCTGCAGCAACAGCAGCTTCAAAGGGATTTGGAGCCCCAGAATCCCTCTCAGAGCAGTTTCTGTGTACTTTGATGTATTTTACAAAACTCAGAATTGGCGCTCAACAGCAGCATCTTAATTCTGAAGTTAAAGGTTGAGCTGATAAGCCCTGTGTGATGTCTTAGCTAAGCTGTCTCTCTCTCTCTCTCTCTCTCTCCTCTCTCTCTCTCTCTCTCTCTGTGTGTGTGTGTGTGTGTGTGTGTGTGTGTGTTGGAAGATGCTGTGCTTTTCTGAGGATGCTCCGCATTTTCTGGAAAGCTAAGCCAACCTTTGTTTCTTGGCAGGATGCAATTGCCTTTAGGGAAACAGCCAGAGGAGTAAATAAGATAATTCAGGGCAGCACAGTAAAAGGGTAACCACTGAATAACAGAAATGTCTTGGGACCAAGGTAGCTAAAGGACTCCCTCCAGCCATACAATCCTGCCCAGATATTTAAGGCCAGGTTCTGAGGTCCTGCTTGTACGGCCACCAGGAAAATAAATGAAATTGGTAGGACAAGCACTCTCTCTGTGGTGGCTCCACAGTTCTGGAACTGCCAGCTGGGCGGATTCTGTTTAGGCTTGCAAGCAAGCTTTCAAAATGCACCTGTTCCAGGCTGCCTTTTCTCGACAGTCTCTTGCTGCTGCCTTCCTGTGCCACCTTAAATGATCAAGTTCTTGCAAACGCAGAATAGGTATGTTGTGGTACCTGTAGTACTGCAAATTCCACCTATCAAAGCAGTCAGCTTTGGGGGGGCCACAGCCTGCTTGGTTCCATAGACTCATCCTAGTGCCCCGTACCCTACTATACCCTCCAACACCTTGAGTTCCCAAACCGGGGTCCATGTGCTCCCTCCCACGCTCCCAAGTCAGTCATGTGACCAGAGCGAGATCACTGAGCCCAAAAAACATGCTTTTTGAGGGGCCAAGCTCACAAGGCACCCAAAAATGCACCATGAGATTGCAGCCCTGGGGGGGGGGAACTTTGGGGTTTGCTTTTTTCTGGTCTCCGTATGTTATCCCTTGAGATCACAGCACACCAAATGGCCGCTGTGCTCTCATGCAAGAAAATGGGATGCCCCATTTTTCTGGGATACTTGGGTAAACCCTGCCCTGCCCAGGCCTGTACAGAGCTTATCTGAGGTCCAAGGTGGGAGTCTTGTTAGAACAAAGTTATAAACACAAACAAAAAAACAGGCAACCTCTTGCAGGGTAGCCCAGCCAGCTTAGCCCTCTGAGGCCCAGGGCAAGTGTACCCAGCTGCCCCACCCCCTGCACAGGCCTGCCCTATAAAAAGCATTATTCAGAAGAGTGGTTTCCATTGCAAAGAGGTCAAACATGAGACCAATCCGCTTGCAGGGAGTTCCAAAGGTGGAACGGGTACTACAGGGGTATACTAGGAGTATACATCCATGACCCACTAAGGAAGATAGTCACACAATAAAATTCGAAACAGTAACAATTAATTGCACATTTATTCAAAATCCAATTAAAACTATGTGGTTTAATTAATTCAATGAAGCTGATGAACGTGATCCCGTGATACCAGCTTTTCAAAGGCTGATAGTCATTTACACTTCTGGTGCCCCCTGCCCCCCCCTTGACTCTTATCAACCCCTCCCCAAGAATCCTAGTGACCCCCAGGGGGAGGTACCACCCACTTTGGGAAACACTGGTTTGGCAGAACCTGCTGAAACCAGGCCTCTCCCATTCCCAGGAGGCAGCTGTGCCTTTGCACTGCCCTGGCCAATCCAACATCTGGAGAGGAGCAGCCATCTGGAGAGGAATGCGAGCGAGTGGCAAATGGCTTCCTTCCTGACTGCTGTTGTGGGCTATTTCGTGACAGTATCTTTGTCTCCAGGAAATCTTTTGTCTTGGGCTCCCTCCGCAAATGCTCCACCCTAAAAAAAAGACAGAGAGCATTGTTCTCACTTCTTCAGCCGAGAGGAGTAGAGACGCAAAGCAGCAAACAAAACGCTCTTGGCTCATTAACACAACACAAAGCTCCTCTGTGGCGAGGAAGCAAGGGGGGGTGCCTCGTGCATGTTAGCTGAAAGGGTCCCCCCCCCCTCCGGTTTCACACAGAGCCCAGAAAACGCCCCTGGGGTGCTGGCTGGTGCTGGTGTCAGGCAGGAATGCTGGAAGCTTTCTGATACTGAGTCCAACTGATGGTGCATCTAGCTCAGTGTTGTTGCAATGGGTCTCCATCAGCTGTCAAGCAGTGGACACTCCCAGTCCTACCTGGAGATGTCGGAGGGTGAACCTGGAACCCTCTGCTTTCGGGGCAGATGTTCTGCTCTATGGCCCTTTTGGGACAGATACCCAGATATCCCATTCATAGGCATGCAAAGTTGGAAGAGACCAAATGGAGCCAGAAGAGTGAAGAGCAAAAGTGTTGAAATGAAAATTGCATGACTTGCCCAAATATGTTGGCGTTTGTGTGCCACCAGCTCATCCCTTGCATACTGCAGAGTCCCATTCATCTCCTCTGACTGGATGAGCAAAGTGTCAGGAGCTGGCTGGATAGGGAAGAGTGGCAGAAGCCGCCTGACCCAGAGCCCCCCAGGGAAAGCACAGAGGGAGAGGGTTTGGATTCTGGCTGCTAGTGGTGGGAAACTGACCACACCCCAGAGGGGGGGGAAGCTGGGAAGTGCTGGAGGCTGGGAACTTGGAGGGGGATGAAGAGGAGGACACAGGCAGGTGCCCCAGCCCACAGGAATCAGACTTGACGGCTCCACCAGAGCCACCCTGACAATTTCACTGCTGACAGCCTGCAAGCCTCATCCCTTCCACCCCTAGAACAGGATAGTACGCACCCTGGAACTGATCTCTTTCAGCTTCTGCCTTCTGGAAGAAGGTATAGGGTTATAAAGACCAGGACTAGCTGCCCGAGAAACAGTTTCTACACAAATGCAATTCTGGTCCTAAACGCAGCATAAGGAGTCTCTATAATATATTGTATTTTAAAATGGAGTTTCAGAGTTTTTAGGGGGTTTTGAATGTTTTATGTAGTTTTTCAATTTCATTGTTCTGTATGGGACAATGACAATAAAGATATTGTATATCGGATATCATAAGTTAACCAGCGTTGTCACTGTCTTTCTCTGTTCTGCAAATGACCTGTTCTCCCTGTTGGCTCCTGGACACAAAGTTACTTTAGTCCTCCTCTGATTCTTCCCTTCAGGGCTAAGCAACATCATCGGGATTATCGTTTACATCTCTGCCAACGCTGGGGACCCTGGGCAGAGCGACTCCAAGAAGAGTTACTCCTACGGCTGGTCCTTCTACTTCGGGGCCTTATCCTTCATCATTGCTGAGATGGTGGGGGTGATTGCCGTCCACATGTACATCGAGAAGCACCGCCAGATCCGAGCCAAAACCCATTCCGTGGCGCTGCTGAAGAAGTCCACCTTTGCCCGCTTGCCTACCTACCGGTACCGGTTCCGAAGGAGATCCAGCTCCCGCTCCACGGAGCCCAGGTCCAGGGACCTGTCCCCCATCGGCAAAGGCTTCAACACCATCCCGTCCACCGACATCTCCATGTTCACCCTCTCCAGGGATCCTTCCAAGCTGACTATTGGGACACTGCTCAACTCAGAGAGAGATCACGGGTTTTTACAGATTCACAACTCCCTCCCCAAAGAGTTCAAGGAGTCCTTACACAACAATCCAGGCAACAGACGAACCACGCCAGTCTGAGGCCAGCCACACCCCTGGTTGGCTGAGAGTCCTGGCAGTCAGAGCTGCCCTGCTGGCTGCCATGTATAGAGGTGTATCGTTGAGACTGCATGACATGACCCGCCCCCTGTGATGGTGTAACCAGTGAAACTTTGTTTTTCAGAAGAAACCCTCTGCGGGGGTCCTGCCCCTCATGGGCAACCTGGGTTGAGGACTTCGTTTTTTCCATTTCGTTTTTGAAATCCTCGAATCTCCACTTGCTAAGCCCGAGCGGTTGTGGCTTTGGTTTGACTGCCGCTGAGCCTCCCCAATTCCCAAACCTCTCCTTCTTTGAGCAAGAACAGACATTGTAGCTTTGCCACATGCACAGCAAAAGGGGTTCCCATTGGACTGCCAGGAGGCCCCATCAGGAATGTAGGGAGCACCCCATGGCTATTGGTCCCCCCACGGAAATCCCACTTGCGCGCTGTGGTCATCCCGAAATCACCTCTGTGGGAAATCTCCAAGCACGAAACGGCAAACCTGAGTGTGTTTGAGGAGACTGTGACCATTGTCCCTTCTTCCATCCGGATTGTATTGAGTGATGCTGGGGGGGGTTGGGGTGGGGGCTGTCTGTTTTTGTGTGCATGCATTAAATAGCTTGGAATCCCATTTCCTGCCATGTGGTTAGAAGAGATGGCCCGGAGCCATTTCTGTGGGTTTAGGGAGGGCTCTGTGTTTTTCTCGCATCTTCAACGCTCCCATCAAGGACTCCGGGTCAGGTGGGGAGAGGCAAATGCTCCCCCTCCTCCATCTCTCCCAAGGTGCTGGTCGTCATCTGCCATCTGTGGGTCAGCTTTTGACATTGCAGGTAGGATGAGCTCACTCTCTCATGCCCAGAGGTAGATCTCTGGACACCATTGAAGATTATGTGTGGTTGAGTTTGCAATCTGCTTTTCCAGCTGCAGCACCAGTCTATGTCCTGTACAGATGGGCGGTCGATATCTGGAATGTTTGAAAGGTCCAAGGAAAGCAAATATATACCAATAAAACACATTCGGATCAGCATTTGTGATTCAGAGGCCTTTTGTTGGTAAAGGAAGGCATGGGGCAGGGAGCAATATATGGAGGGGGAACATGGGATTTTATTCATATTGCAAAATAGTGAAGATCAGTCAGCAGCTTTCTTGAGGAATCAGCGCAAATGCTACCACTGTCAACTTCAAGGAAGCCCCACCTGTGAATTGCAATTTACATGCAATATATTTTCCTGGAGCTGCCAAGAGCATCTGCTGTGTTCTGCCCCAAATATATCTCTCCACACACACACACCTTGGCAGGTGGGACATGGAAAGGCAGTCAGCTTTGAAGACCTGGGGAAGAAAAGGGACAAGCAGTCTGCTGGTTTACCTTAGCCTTCCTCTTCCACATGGTGACGTAGGGATGTGGGTGGCGCTGTGGTCTAAACCACTGAGACTCTTGGGCTTGCCGATCAGAAGGTCAGCAGTTCAAATCTCCGCGATGGAGTGAGCTCCCGTTGCTCTGTCCCAGCTCCTGCCAACCTAGCAGTTCGAAAGCATGCCAGTGCAAGAAGATCAATAGGTACTGCTGTGGCGGGAAGGTAAATGGCATTTCCATGTGCTCTGGGTTCTGTCACGGTGTTCCGTTGCGCCAGTAGCAGTTTAGTCATGCTGGCCACATGACCCAAAAGCAATCTGTGGACAAACACTGGCTCCCGCAGCCTGAAAGTGAGATGAGCGCCGCAACCCCATAGTTGCCTTTGACTGGGCTTAACCATCCAGGGATGCTTTACCTTCACCTATAACTTTAAATGGTGACCTAACTGGCTGATATTGAGCCCACCCCAAGTTTCATCCTACTTTTGATCCCAGAATGGCCAAGACACTCTGCCTCTGTTTGTTTAAGCTGGTTGGCATTTCCCCCTATGCCCACCCAACGGTTTCTCCAAAAGGTACCAGACAAGTGCCCTTTAATGCAAGAGTCTTTTTATGGGTTGGGGGGAGTGCTGAATCAGGTAATTATTGATGGGAAGTGGCCTCTAAGGGAGAGCTCTTTTCCCTAAATACAGGCTGCATCCCCCCCCCCTTATCTAGAAAGCTTTAAAAAGTAAAGGTAAAGGGACCCCTGACCATTAGGTCCAGTTGTGACCGACTCTGGGGTTGCGGCGCTCATCTCGCTTTACTGGCCAAGGGAGCCGGCGTACAGCTTCCGGGTCATGTGGCCAGCATGACTAAGCCGCTTCTGGCAAACCAGAGCAGCGCATGAAAATGCTGTTTACCTTCCCACCGGAGCGGTACCTATTTATCAACTTGCACTTTGATGTGCATTCAAACTGCTAGGTTGGCAGGAGCAGGGACCAAGCAATGGGAGCTCACCCCGTCACGGGGATTTGAACCGCCGACCTTCTGATTGGCAAGTCCTAGGCTCTGTGGTTTAACCCACAGCGCCACCCGCGTCCCTTCACTAAGCGGTTTAGGTAAACACAATAGAAAATAGTCAAAAGGAAAACACTGGTAAAATCAAACTTTAAAGACAAGTAGATGTACAAAATTGAATAAAAAAACAGGGGGGAGACAACCGTTTTTAAACGAATACACATATTGGAATTTTGTGTCTGGGTAGACTGGTCTGAACAAACAAGGCTTAAGCATTGGAGACAGTTCAGCGAAGGTGTCTGAAAAATAAGAACATTTTAAGAGCTGGGTCAGCGCGGCATTCTTTTCTCACAGTGGCCAACCAGATGCCTGTGTGAAACCCACAGGCAAGATTTGAGCACAAGAGCCCTCTCCCCTCCTGTGATTTCTGGCACCTGGTATTCAGAAGCATTGCTGCCTCCAGCTGTGGAACCAGAGCAGAGCCCTTGTGGCTAGCAGTCATTGATACCCTCCTTGAATCGGTCCAGTTCTCTTTGGAAGCAATCCAAGCTGGTGGTCATCCCTACCTACCATGGGAGTGAGTTCCATAGATTAATCCTGTGCTGCAGGAAGAAGGACTTTCTTTTTATCCTTCCCAAATCTTCCAACATTCAGTTTCATCGGATGTCCATGAATTCTAGTGTCATGGGAGAAGGAGAAAAACTCTTTCCACTTTCTCCGTGTCATACATTATTTTATAAACTTCTATCATGTGCCCTCTTACTTGCCTTTTTCCTAAACTAAAAAGTCGCAGACAATGTAAGTTTTCATCATAGAGAAGTCGCTCCCTCCCCTTGATCATTCCGGTTTTCCTTTTCTGAACCTTTTCCAACTCTACAATATCCTTTTTGAGGTGAGGCAACCAGAACTGTACACAGTATTCCAAATGCGGTGACACCATAGATTTGTATAATGGCAAGAACACCTATTACGTTTGCCTTAGTGTCCTGAAACTCAAACTGTGGCCAGTCTCTTTTGGAGGAAAAACTGTTAAACAGTATTTAAAATAAAGAGCAACATAGCAGGAGAGCAAAGCTAAGCAGCATCCAAATGTTTTCTTTTACCCCCAAGTTCCCACTTGACGACTACTACTACTATATTATTATTATTATTATTATTATTATTATTATTATTATTATTATTATTATTATTATTATTTTTAAAATAGTACACAACCCTTCATCTGTAGATCTTTGGTGGGCTTAGGGGAAATATCATGTTGAGGTGGGTGGAGGACAAAAAATTGGAAATACTCAAATGGCTGGAGCTTCTTTTTTAACCTCTCTGAAGGAAAGAAAACTGCAAGCATATTCCCTCTGCTTGCAAACATATTTCGAGAGCACCCTTCCTAGGACCTCTGTGTCCTTGAAAAATATTTAAAATGCAAAACTTATCAATATTAAATGCAGCTTTTTTGCTAGAGGCAGTGTTCCTGACTGTGAACCATAAAACAGACATAGACTTCCTGTATGGTCTGTAGGAAGGGTTGTGGGTAGAGGTGGAGAAGACTTTTGCTAGGCTGGGGTGTAATGGGAGGGGGGCTCCTTAAGGCAGTGGGAGACTTTGAGACACACATGCCCAGTGGTGGAGCATCTGGTTTGCATGCAGAAAGTCCCAAGTTCAATCCTTGGCATTTCTGTCTGAAACCCTGGAGAGCTGCTGCCGGTCAGTGCAGACAGTACTGAGCTAGATGCAGCATTGATCTGACTCTGTATAAAGCATGTTCCAGTGTGTCACTTGAGCACCATCTTAAATACATGGTGACTTCCAAATGTTTCAGCCTACAACTCGCACCAGCCCCAGTCGGCAGTTTGGAAATCGCAGCTTAAACCTGTGACTGTAAGAGGAGGATCAAAGTTGTTGAGGGTGTTTGTTTTTGAGAGAGAGAGAGAGTCTCGTCCTACCCCTGGAAGAAGATATTTTGAGAACGAAGAACTCGATTCCATTGAGTTAGATCCAAGAATGAGATATTTGTGGCAGCGATGGGTGACGTGGCCAACTGTGGGATGCTGACTGGCGATGCCAAGCACGGACCAGCTGCTTTGTGGAGGAGAGATGTGCCTGTGGATCAGCAGAGGGGGCGGATCCTGGTGCCAGCTCATAGCGGAACCCTCTGGAGGTATTTCTCTCCTGAGAGTAACACATGGAGCCGTGTGGGGCATTCGCCGCGCTGAGTGGGAGGGGGCCACTCTGAAAGGAAGGTACAAAATGCCAACAGCAGGAAGGTGGCCTTCAAGCCCACTGGCAGTGGAGGTATGCAAGCTGGCGATCCCTGAAAGACATCATGGGTGGGGGGAGAGGAGGGTCCCAAGCAGGTTCTTTTAACTTGGGTTTGCTTGGAAAAAATTCAGTTCCCTCTCATCCTTTTTAAAGCAAGAGTTATACCATCCATTGCAGAGACTCTCCTGGAAAGCTCTAGTCAGTGCTTCTGCTGGAAAGCAAAGTGTGGGAAGAAGAACCATGCAGCTCACGGTTCAACTATGGAACTCTCTCCTGCAGGAGCATAGCTGTCAACTTTTCCCTTTTCTTGTCAGGAATCCCATTCGGAATAAGGGAATTTTCCTTAAAAAAAGGGAAACATTGACAGCTGTGTGCAGGAGGCAGTGATGGCCACCAACCTGGATGGCTTAGGCTGGTGCAAATTCATAGAGGAGAGGGCTAGCGATGGTTATTAGCCACAGTGGCTATTCTCTACCTCCACAGCTAGAAGCAGCAGTGCTTCTGAATCCCATTTGCTGGAAACATCAGGAGGGGAACGGTCTCTTGTCCTCTAATCCTGCTAGAAGGTTTTCCAAATGGGGGATCTGTTTGGCCACTGTAATGACAGGCTGCTGGACTAGATGGGCCATTGGCCTGATCCAGCAGGCTATTCGTAAGCTATGTTCTTGTGAGTCTGTCTGTATAAAGGTCCCCAAGCCATGCAGGTGTCAGGATGCTGTCAGCGGCTCCCAGCTGGTTGCCTGGGAAAGTATAAAGACAAGGGAAAGTTTCTCACCATCCTTTTTTATTTCAGTCTTTAGAACCCAGCCTCTTGGATAATGGTGTTGTCCCAAGTGAATCTCCACACAAACACACACACACACAATCTCTCCCACTTCCTCATTCATCACTTCTATGGGTGCTGCTATGTGCCCTTTGTCTTTTGAGTTCTTTGCTCTCCTACTTTTAAGGCTCACTGGGTTCTGGGAGATGGAGGGTCTGGAATGCTTTCTAATGACAACGTGTCAGCCAGCTGCTGCTCTGGTTCCTCCTCTCCTAACTTTTCCCCAACATCTGCCTCTCAGCAGTAACCTCCCTCAAACCACTGTTGTAAATCTATACTGTCTTCCTCTTCCTTCTCCCTGGAAGGGTCGGGATGGGGAGGCAGTCTCTACCATTCCTCCTCTGCCCAGTCCCTGACAGCAGGTGATTGTGCAGCATTGTGCTCTCTGATTGGCAGGCAACTTGAAGCCTCTGGATTGGCCAGGTCTTGTGCTGTAAATACAGTTGGTTGGAGAGCATAGGAAGATGCCCTATACCAAGTCAGAACATCAGTCCCTCTAGCTCAGTATTATCTGCTCTGACTGGCAACACCTCTCCAGCATATTCACCTCTCGACAGAAGTGGAGTCAAACCTCATAAGGACTGAGCAAC